GCTTCTTCCACTGAGCTCAAGAGTTCTGAAGTTTTTTCTAGAAGCTGTTCCAACACGTCACTCCTTTTCGGAACAAACAATCAGCTGCCTTTTCTGAGTCCTGATCCCACTAAGTGTGGCGGTCCCCTCTAAGAAGGCTGGGAAGGAGGTCACCGAGGAGCGCGACCGACGAAAGGGCTGGATTTGAACCCAGGTCCATCCAGCTGCCAAGCCAGAGTCCTGGATCCTGCGCTTTGCTGCTCTAGGGGAGGTGGAGGAAGAAGTAGCTCGAGGGCCAAGCACAGGTCACAAAGTCCCTCTTCCCAGGGAGCCTCTGGGTCACTGTCATGATCGCTGACAACTGGCACTGTGAGGCGGGACAATGGCCCCAGACGTTGCTCGTCCTGCGGTTCCCTGCCGCTCCCACCCCGGCCCTCGGTGCCACTCGCCTCTGCTGTTCCTTCTGCCGGCTCCGAATGTCCCCTGCCTTTGGAGTTGTGCTAGAGGGTGACTGTCCTGCTAGGGTTACACGCCGAGTAACGATGGCTCCTTGTGAGTAACTGTCCTTTAGGAAGTCCAGGCCCGCTGCCCGGGGTGGGCAGGACCTGCTCCCCGCATCCCGAAACCCCCGTTCCCAGGGTGGCCGATGGCGAGTGGGTGCAGGGGTAGGGAGTCACCCCTGGTGTCCCGCCGCTCCCCAGGGGACTCTGGTTAACAACCGATCGCATATTTCAACACAGCTGGTGGAGAGGATCTCGAATGTCCCCGATAGAAAGAGAGGATGAATGTTTGAGCTGGTGGACACGCCCGTCACCCTGGTCCACCTTAGCCAGGGAGGACGAGTGCAGACATATCACGCAGCACCGGCCAATACGCACCGTGGTTAGGCATCAGTTCAGGGGATCATGTGCCACTTAGTCATGACAACCGTGGAGGACCCCCCCCCTCCCTTCCTCTCTGAGCTCCTGGGAGCTGCCCTGCTGGGGGTCGGAATTGAGTTCCTGAAGGTGGAAGAGGAAGCTGAGGCCAGGGGCCACTCAGCCAGCGTGACAGGCCAGGGCTGGGGCCCACAGCAGCAGAGCCCAGGCAGGCCCCAGGCTCACCGTCTCGGTTCCCCACCCAGCTATAATGCGGGACCCAGTTGCAAACGGAACGAGGCAGTTTCTCAGGCTTCACACTCAGAGCTCGAGGCACAGAGCCAGGACTCAGTTTTCTGTGTGTTTGGAGGCCCCACCCTGACTCTTCTCTGTCTTGCTGTGTGACCTGGGAAAAGTTGCTTGTCCTCTCTGAGGCTCTGCAGGGCCTTCTTCCTGCTCCTGCTCCATCTCCCGGTGATCTCCTGCAATGGTTGGTGATAAGATGGAGGGTTCGCTGGGCCCAGTTCCCAACAGGAATCGAGGGAGGCCCAGCACCCTGCCCTGCCTCCGGGTCCTGCCAGGCGCAGCTGGGACCTCAAATCCTGTCAAGAGGGATCGACAAATCCCTAGACACCACCTGGCCTGGCTCAGACGTGCTCTCTCTCTCTCTCTCTCTCTCTCTCTCTCTCTCTCTCGTGTTTTCTTGCTCTTTGCTGTGGGTCTCTTATTCATTCAACAAACATGTGTTGAGCCAGTGGCTGGAGGAGGACAGGAGCAAACACGAGTCCTCACATGACCAAGGCTGTGACCAGCTGCTGTGGGTGCTGGGTCCGAGGCGGCAAGAGGGGAGTCTCTGGGGGACCGGGAAGGGCCTCTGAATGCGGCCTCCAGCCTGGCAGAGGCTGGGCAGGTGAGGAGGAGGCCATCCCAACTGGAAATCCTCCCACCTGTCCCCAGGGTGGGTCTGGGCACAGGTGGACTGTCCTGTGGGGTCTGTAGAGTGGCCCCATGTCCCCAGGAATGGAAGCTCAGAGTGTCCACTGTGCAGAGGAGGGGCCGGGACACTGCGCAGGGGCAGGGGTGGCAGGCGAGGCACCGTGGGCGTGTTGCTGGAGTCCCCTGTCCCCCCTCGCCCGTCCACCTCTGCTGTCCCGCCCACCCGGGGCTCCCTCACTGCAGACGCTGCTCATCCCCTTAGTCACCCGTTGTCAGAAAGCTGAGGCCTCTGATGCCCCATCATGGTCCCACCCAGTGCTACCCCACCCTCCCACTTCACCCGTCCAGGGTGGTCTCTGTCCTGGGGAAAGGCCCATTCCCTTGGGAATGTCTGCGTTGATCCTGAGCCTGGAAGTCCCGTCATGCTGTGTGACCTCAAAGGATTTGCCCAGCCTCTCTGAGCCTTAATCTTCTTCCTTTCTTTCCATCCTTCTATTTTTCCTTCAACTCTTGCTGACTTACTCTCCGGTTCTCAGCCTCACTTGCTGAGAACATGAACATGATCCAGGTTGCTGAGGGCTTCCCTATAGGGGCAGGAAGAAGAAAGACTGACCTTTGAGTCATGGAAGAGCAAGCCCAGGCTCTGTAACCCACCTCCGGACTGTGTGACCTTGGGTAAATTACTTCACCTCTCTGAGCCCCAGGTTTCTCACTTAATAAATGATAAAAATCCTATATGAGATTATTTTTTTCAGGGATGGGACTTCGGTAAGGTTTAAACAGGATACCTGGCTGGGGATGGGTTGTTCAGGTTGATCAAGAGTCACCTTGTCCCCATCTTGAGACCTGAAAACCCTTATGGAAGTAAGAGACAGGATCTCCCTAATGGCGGGCTTCAGGCTCAGTGGCCCTGGGTGCACAGGAGACCTGAGGAAGCAGGAGCCCTTCTGAGCCCCCCACCAAATACTCTATGTAATCTGCCCCCTGCTCCACCTTCCCCAGGGGAGGGAGCCTGACTCTTGATAGTAGCCTCGTAAGTAGCCTCATGGGTATTTTCCATGAGGCCAGCTCTGTGCAAACGTTTTCTCTCACCTCAGCAGGGGGACGCACTGCACACTCTATGGAGCAGAAACCGGAGCTCAGAGAGGTCTGATAACATACCTGGGGTCACACAGCGAAGCGTAACAAGGCCTTCTGTTCTCGCACAGCACAACCCCAGCAAGGCTGAGGGTTCCTCGCTCTGCTGCCCTGGCTCCTGAGCCCGTGAGCACCCTCTCTGGGCCTCACCAAGGTGGAGTTTGGCTCCTTATTCTCCAGCCAGGGGAGGCAAGGCAGGCTCCTCCAGCCCTTCCCAAGACCTGGGGAAACAGCCCGCCAGCGGCACCAGGTCACCGGAGCTGGAACCCAGGTCTCTGGGCTCAGCGAGGCCCTGACCTCGGCCTGCCACCTTCCTGGAGGCCAGCCCTGATCCCGGCTGGCCCTGTCCTGGGTTGCTCAAGGGCCTGAGTCACCGCGGCTCTGGTTCTGTGCAGTGGGAGAGGGAGGAAGCGGGCAGCCAGCAGGGCCCCACAGCTGCACGCCCCACGCTGGGAACCACAGCCAGCACCCATTGAGCACCAACTGTTTGCTGGCTGCTGCTCTAAGTTCTCACCAGCCCTGCAGAGTGGGCCCCGCGGCCATCCCCATTCCACAGACGAGGAAACCGAGCACCGAGGTGAAGTGAGGTGCCCGCTGGGTTTCTGTGCCAAGGCTCAGAGACCCCAGTTCTCACTCGCTCACCCCTTGTGAGGGGTCCCCGGTTCCCACCATTTCCACTGGGTCCCCTTCAGGCCCATGAGGGTGGGGCTCAGCCATTTCACAGAGGAGGAAACTGTGGCCCCGACACTTGAAACACCTCCATGGCCACGCACTGTCAGAGCAGCGGGGACTTGAACGCTGGTCTCTGTGCATGTGTGTGCATGTGTGTGTGCATGTGTGTGCATGTGTATGTGCATGTGTGTGTGCATGTGTGTGTGTGTGTGCAAGTGTGTGAGTGCGTGTGTGTGTGTTTCTTGGAATTAAACCCAGGGGTGCTCTGGCTCTGAGCCACATCCCCAGTCCTTTTCATTTTTTTTTAAATCTCGGACTGAGTTGCTGAGGCTGGCCTGGAACTGTCAATCCTCCGGCCTCAGCCTCCCAAGCAGCTGGGATCACAGGTGTGCGCCACCACACCCAGCCACCCTGGCCTCGTGACTAACACATGCTTAGCCCGCTCCCTCTGCTGAGCTTTCACCAGCTGCGGGGAACGGTTTGTGCCACCTCTATATGATGGGGCAATTACAGGGCCCACCCCGGGGCTGTTCTGCAGGTGAGCAGGGCTCAGCACTGTCTTGGGGTTGCTCAGTAAGGCTGCAGGCAGGGTCCATTTGACCTAGAGACAAGTACATACTACAGCAGCACAGGAGGGTTGCCTATGCTACCTGCCACACGAGAACAGGAAATGGGGCCAACTCGACAGCCCCAGCACCTCAATCACGTCAATCACGTCAAACTTGCTCCAGAAAAAGGGCTGGGGAGGCCTCTGACTCTAGGGACCCTCATAGTGGGTGAGGAAGCACAGGAGGCTGGGGCCCGAGGTACAGGATGGAAGATGGGCCCCCAGTCGCTGGATTCGTGGGGTCTGAGACTGGGTCCCTGGAAGCTGGCCTTATTCCCTCCCAGCACACAGTGGGCCCTCGAGGAAGGCCAGTGGATGGAAGACTGAGGAGAGAGAGGGAAGTGGGGAGGACAGGATGCAGGGCGACAGCACAGGAGGATTCGCGGGGCTCTGCTCAAGGAGGGCTGTCTGCCAGCCTGGAGCTCTGTCTGTCTGTGAGCCGCTGCCCCTGGGCACCCCTCATTGGCGTGTCTGAGGCCACCTGTGGCTCCTGCAGGGTGCCTGTCCCTGTATCTGGCGTTGGCGTCTGATTCAAGTTGGTCTGTTGGAGTGTGTCTGTGGCCACGTGTGCCTCTGGGTGTCCCTGTCGTATCTGCTATGAGTGTGACAGAGAGAGGGCCCGAGCTGTGGCCTGTCGGATCTGAGTGTCTCTGTCACCCAGGGTCCCGCTGTGGGCCAGGTGGACGTGTCCCGCTCCCGCGCTGGTCTCCGGGTCCCCGAGCTGCGCGGCGGCCGTCCGCCAGGGGGCGCCCTGGCCGCGGTCCCTCCGGGGCTCTGTCCCGGGGCGCCCGCTCGGGGCTGGGTGGCCGCGCCCGCCCCGCCCCGCCCCGCCGCGGGCTATAAGTTCAGGCCGCCCGCGTCGCCGGCCAGTGGTCCGCACCGGCAGGGTCCCGCCGCAGTGACCTTGGAGGAGCGCCGTCCCCCCTTGACCATGGCCGAGGGTGAGTGTCCCAGGCCGCGCCGCCGCTCAGGGACCGGGCTTGCCTCTCGGGTCTCCGGGGTCCCGCGGGGTCGGGGGCCCGGACCCTCCGCGGCTCAGCCGCCAAGTCCCCGGCTCGGAGCGCAACAGGTGGGCAGAGCTGGGCCGGGCGCCGGGCTCCCGGGTCTGGAGGGGCGGGCCCTCGGTCCCCCATCCCGGGCACGACCCCGGCTCTGTCCCCCTGGGTCGCCGAGGCCATTCAATGCTGAGGCTGCTGTCGACCTTAAGACGCTCTCCTGGCGCGTGGCTGTCACTTTCCCTGGGCCACTGAATTGGAGCCGGTGCCTGCGGTCCTCGGGGGGGAAAGCTGTCCAGGGGTGCTGGCCTGGCCTCAGCTGTCCAGGGGTGCTGGCCTGGCCTCAGCTGTCCAGGGGTGCTGGCCTGGCCCCGGAACACCGAGCTTCACTTGGTCTCTGCCAGCCAGGACCGGGGGTGCCCACGTCCCTGGTTGTCCCTGGTTGCGGCCAGGACTGGCTGATTCTAGGAGACAGTTGGCATGCTGTGGGGAGGGGGCAGAGACCAGGCCTGTCCCCTTGGTTCCCTTCCCGCCCTCAATCTCTAACTCTAGGCCACCTGCTGAGTCTCAGTTTCCCCTCCCGTAAAAGATAGAAAATAGTGCCAGCCCTTGGTGCACCTGTGAGGGCTGAGAGGTGAGATCTAGGGACAGTTCCTACCTGACCCCTACACACACACACAGAGTGCCACAGTCTTAGGTCCTGGGGCAGGGACTTCTACCATGGAGGATGTCCCCGAGCTAACACTGCTGAACCCAGAACCCCAGCTGGGGGCATGGGGAGGGGGAACTTGGTGAGGGACATGGGGCAGATGGGGCAGGGAGGGGCGCGAGGAACTATGGATCTACCTGAGCTGCTGTGTGATCTTGACCCCCCCCACCCCCCCACCCCCCACCCTTCTTGGAGACTCAGCTTCCCCAGCATGCTGTGATCTGCCACCTAGATGGACATTTGTCCCCAGTGAAGCTTCTCAACCCTGTCCCCCAAAACGGGGCCCAGTGGGGCTAGGGGACCTGTAAAGGCCGGTTATGATGAGCCCCTAGCCCCATTGCCACAGGGCTCCTTCCAATAGGGCTCCCACTGCCCGGAGCTTCATTCCATCAATCCCGGCTTCTTGAAACCTTGCTTCAGGCAATAGGCTGAGAAAGTGCTCCATCACCTTGGACAGGGGACTGGCCACCCTCAAGGTCTCCTGGGGGAAACAGTGACCTCTTTCCTGCTGAAACTCCCTGGGGCTGAAGTTTTCAAAGTATTTCCTGGTGGCAGGAAGCTTCTCCTTGCAGAGGCTGCCGGCCTCCCCTGGTGTGATGATAATGGGGTCCTGCTGGGAGGGGTGTGAGGACTCTCTTCCCCAGGAGAGAAAGGCCCAGAAATGGAAGAGGGGGTGGGGCGGCGGCTCTGAGCTGTAGCAAGGTGGCTCCCCAGGCCAAGGTGGCCCCCCAGGTGGGGCTCCAGGATCCTATAGCCCTGACTCAGACCCCAAAGCGGTCACCTGCTGAGCCACCCGGGCCACAGAGCTTGCACCTGTGGAGGTGGACCAAGGATCTTTGTGAGGTTCAAGCGCAGGTTGTCCACACAGACCCTCTGGCTGTCACCGGAACTTGTTGGCCCTCATTTTGGGATATTTCCAGGGTAGGAGGCAGGCGTCCTGAGACCAGCGTTCCACTGGGAGGACCCACTTGCTGGGTGATTTTGGACAAATCCCTGCCTCATTTGGACCACATCCCCCCACCCTAGGGCTTCCCATCTCCACCTTGAACTTGCCAGTGTTGATGGGGGGTGTGCTTCCTGCAGACCCCCACCTGCCTGTTACCTTGTGCCTGACCTGGCCTTCAGTTCCTCTGAAATTATCAATAGAACTTTCTCTTATCGCTGTCCTGCCTGGGCTGGACCTTGGGGAAGGGTGCTCCAGGCATCCTCTCCTAGACCTCATGGTGACCCTTCAAGGCTTGGGAGAAGGCACCAGAGGGGCCATCACTTGTCCAGGGTCACAGCGCAGCTCAGAACCAAACCCAGGTCCGCAGGACTCCGAGACTTCTGTTACCTTTTTTTAACTTTTTCCTATCGAGATTACTGGACGAACATGGAGAAAATAACACACTCAGTCCCCACGTTCTCATGCGGCCCGGCCATCCCCTCTTCCTGCCTCTGACACCTCCCCTGTAATTTGGAAGCCAATGCCAGGCGTCACATCACGTGATATCTGTAAATATTCCACTGTGTATCTTTAAAGGATAAGGATTCTCCTTTGTAGGTACCAATTACAAAATTCCTCGGCACCGCCCACCATTTTTCCATCAGTGTTTAAATCGTCTCATATGGGTACTAAACTTTTAAAAAACTGTGTATTTGTTCTTTTCAGTTAAAAAAGACAGAATGTGTTTTGTACATCCATGGAGTATAACTTCCCATTTTTGTGTTTGGACACGATGTGGTCACGTGTTCAGATCTGAGCATGGGACATCTTGTCCAATTCCTTCTGTCTTTCCTGTTCCCGTCGCCTCCCTCCCCTTCATTCCTCTGTCTATTCCAGTGACCTTCTATCCTTCCCTCCCTATTGTGTTAGCATCCGCCCATCCCAGGACAACGTTAGAAGCCCACGTCTCAGGGTGTTCTGCTGCTGCTATAGCAGTGGTGTATCCAAATACTACTATTCCCCCTAAATAGGCTAAAAATATTATTAAACCTAAAAAAGACCCAACAAAATATAATTTCATACCCAATCCCCCTGCTAATAATTAACCAGAATCCACCATAAATTGGTGACGGTTTTGCAGAGAATCCAGGCCTTTGGGTTTGGGGATTGGCTTAGTTCACTTAGCTTGACAATCTCCAGTTCCAACCATTTACCAGCAAATGCCATAATCTAAAATTTTTAAATAGTTTTTAAAATCAAGATCTGAATAAGAGCCACACATCACAGTGGGTTGAAAGGTCTCTCCAGTTTCTCTCCAAAGGATCTCCGTTCAGCTTTCCTTTTTATTTTTTTCTTTGTAATTTGTTTGTTAAAGAAACCAGATCCCTTGCTTACGGTCTCCCAGAGAATGGATTCTGCTGGCTGGGTCCCGGTTCTATGTTTAGCCTGATCCTCAGGCCTGGGTACTTCCTGTAAATCCAAAATTGGACCAGCAGCCAGTCCTGTGCAAGTCACCTGTGCACCAATCCTGTCCCCCCGAAGGACCCTCCAGAGCCAAGTACTTGGGCCTCGGGGAGTGTGCCCCCCCCACACTGCTCCTGCCCCTGCTCACAGCAGCCCCTGGAGGTAGATCTGCTGTGCCCCACTTGGGACATGAGGAAACTGAGGCCCCAGAAAAGCGGAGCTGGTGAGGGTCACCCCGCCGGAGGGTGGCAGAGCCTTCTCCTGACCGGCCACCGTGGGCGGCCTCGTCCCGAGCAGAAGTAGAGGGGTGGGCCCCTGTGGGGCTGCAGGAGGGCTGGGCTGGGGTTCTGAGCACAGAGGTGTCCTGCGTCACACATCATGGTCCCTGCCTCTCCTGTGATCTCCGTTTCCGTAGATTTGGTTTTGGAGAGGTGTGACTTGGAGCTGGAGGCCAACGGCCGCGACCACCACACTGCTGACCTGTGCCAGGACAGGCTGGTGCTGCGGCGGGGCCAGGGCTTCTGGCTGACGCTGCACTTCGAGGGCCGTGGCTATGAGGCCAGCGTGGACACCCTTACCTTCAGCGCCGTGACAGGTGAGTACCTGCAGCCCCTCAACCTCGCCCTCCTCTTTCCATCCCACCGGTTGTCCCCTCCCCTCTGTCAGACGGCTTCCTACCTCTTTGCCCCATTGGAGATGCCCACTTGTCACTAGCCCCATCTTACAGATGAGGAAACCGAGGCCCAGAGAGTGGGCCATCCGGCCTCACAAACCAGCCTGTTTATGATCCCTGGATCCCTGGGTGCCAAAGACCTGTCATCCCAGCGCTAGGGTCGTGAAGGTCTGTCTAGATCCTGCCTGTCTTTCCCACACCAAAACAACTTTCCAATCTCTTATCAACACTTGCTTCCTGGAATCCGTACAACCCTGCCGACTCCCACCCCCAGGCCTCTGAGATCAGGCCCAAATCAAGTCTGAGTGGCTCAAACCCGCTAAGTGGATTCGTGGCCTACCTGCTGTGTAACATTGGGCAAGTCACTTAGCCTCTCTGAGCCCCAGTTTCATCATCTGAATGGCACACACACAGGAAGGTTGTTGAGTGGGAAGAGCCTGACATGGCGGGGGGATGTCCTGTAGATCTTGGTGGCTGTTGCTTGTCTCAGTCCACAGTCTCCAGGGGTGGATGAAGGGACATTGAGCCCCAGCAAGCCTATCCCCAGATGCCTCTACCCGATCTGCTTTTGTTAACTGTTCCTAGGAAAGTGGTCTTGAGAGCCAAATCAGTTGGTCTGGCTTCTGAGAGGGAACCACACCCTTGGGGTTAACAAAGGGCCACTTGTTGGGACTCTGGTCCTCAGGCGTGAGAGGCGGCTCTTTCTGAGGTCTTTGAGGGCAGAGAGCGGCAGGCAGGAGCTGGCCCCTGGCTGGGGCCCCATTCACCTGGAGGCGTTTGATAAGGCTTATCGCGGAGGCTGCAGGCTGCCCAGGACATTCCTGTCCCTCTCCTGTGCCCCTCCCCTCTTGGCACCCCACACACCAGCATCCTCAGGGCCCTTCTAACAGAGCGAGGGGCCCGGCAGGTCTTTGATCTTCTAGCCTCAGTTTCCCCCTCTGTAAGGTGGAAGGTTGGGGTCCATGACCGGTGAGGCCCGGGTGTGTCCCCTGAGAGGTTCTGCTCAGGTTGGTGCAAACCCCCATTTTTATCTGGGAAGCCCCAGCAGCATCTCAACCCTCGCAGCCTGGAATCAGAAAGGGTCCCCATTGTGCTGAGGAGGAATCTGGGATCTGAAAGACCGAGTCCCTCAGCCAGGTGGGCCACTCAGGGAGTCGGGGACACAGCAGGCGAGTCGGGGACACAGCAGGCTTCCAACCCTCACCTGCGGAGTGGAGGCTCTTTGTCACCTGCCCACACAGGCGCCTGCTGGGCCTCGGCATGTTCCCCTGTAGAAACGGGTGGTGGGTGGTCACCAGCTGGGGGGCCTGGGATCGGCCACCTTCTTCTTTCGCCTTCTCGGTAGGTCACTGGGGCCCCACGCTCCGTGCTGGGCGGGCGCGACCTTCCCACCCTGCCGCTCATCTCTGCTTTCCAGTCGACTTCTCTCCGGCCCTCGCCAGCACATCCTGGTCACCTCCACGGCCCCTGGTGGGCAGCCATGGCTTCCCTGTCCAGGGTCCAAGTGACCAAGACCCTCCCAGGGGCTGGGGAAGCCTGAGGGACAATACCAGGAAGCTGGGCCCCCACCCTCAGGCCCGGCTTGGGTCAGCGCCCGGCCTGGGACCTGGCTGGGGACGCCACTCCTCTGTTGGAACATTTTAGTGTGCTCCGCCTGTCCCACCCCCAGGGAAACTGAGACCCAGGGAGGGGAAAGGCTGGCCAAGGACACTCGGCGAAGGCCGTCGCCCTTAGCAGTGGCTGTGGATTTTCCCCAGACTGTGGGAGACGTGACCCGCCCCATCCCAGGGCACAGGCCCCTGGACAAACAGCCCCCTGCCGCGGGGGAGGGGTGCGAAGTCCTGCGCCCTCTGCCCTGCGAGCTCCCCATTGTCCCCGCCTGCCACCTTGGCCTGGGAAGGGGGCCAGGAGCCCTTGAGTCCCGAGGGTCATTCAGGCCTGGGGCAGTCACCGTGGTGGCCCTGGCCCCACTGAGAGTATCTTGGAGAAGAGCAGAGCAGCCCCAGGGCCAGGGCCAGGCTGTCTCCATGCCCTGCTTCAGGGCCTCTGGGAAGCAAAGGGTGTGAGTGTGTGTGTGTGAGTGTGTGTGAGTGTGTGTATGTGAGTGTGTGTGTATGTGAGTGTGTGTGTGTGAGTGTGTGTGTGTGTGAGTGTGTGTGTGTGTGTGCACGCACAGGCTGCCCCTGGATAGAGAGCCGTGTGTTTCTGACCCACCCCCGAGGGTGGTATGTCAACAGAGACAGTGGCTGTGCCTGTTTCCACAGTGACCAGATAATTGATCACGTAAACAGGGACTTTACTGAGGATGAAAGGGACACTATTCGCTCTGTGCTGGGGCCCAGGCGTCAGATCAGGACAGACCGTCTTCCCAGCTCAACCCTCTGGGCCTGGGCTTCCTCGTCCCGGGAAGTCATCCGATGCCTTCTGACGAGACTGAGGAGGCGCCTGTTTTCTCTGTGGTCACTCGGAGCTGGCTCCTGGTCAGCGCTTTCTATGAACTCTCACTGAGCCCTCTGAACGGCTCAGGGAGCTCCGGTGACGATGATGTACAACAGAACCAGTGTTTATTGAGCACTTACTGTGTGCCAGGCTTCACAACCTCGTCTGGAAGTCTCCCAGCCACCTTACGAGGAGCTACTCGACTGGCTCCATTGAGAGATGAGAAAATGTAGCCCAGAGAAGCTGAATCACCCGTCCCAGGTTACAAACAGGATTCAGGGCCGACCTTGCCAGGCCTGTGGCGTTAGTCTGCTTTTTTAACTGATGAACCGGTGCCTGGGGCCTGGGCCCTGGGGGCCGGGCAGGTGACTAGACCCAAGGCTGCCTGGTCCCCCCCAGTAGCTCTGGAAGTCGGGAAGCACTTAGAGGCTCCCAGTCAGCTCCTGGCACCCGACAGGGCCCCGAGGCTGTGTCCCGGTTACCTCATGGTTATATTTGGGCCTGGGTGTGGGGGGGTGGGCAAGCAGGGAGGAGGGGGCCAGCGCTGCCGGCAGGGAGGTGAGACATGAAAATAAACCCTCCTGGGCAGCCGCCCAGCCAGGCAGAGAACATTCCCTGTTTCTCCTCTCGGCCGCCCATGGACAGAAAGTGACCAGCCCCTTCCCGCCCGCCCCGTGACTCAAACCTGTCTGCATGGACTGGGCTGTCCCCTCACCTAAGCAGGCAGCCACATTTGGGGGCTGGGTACAGGGGATTGAACTCAGGGTCACTCCACCAACCACCGAGCCCCATCCCCAGCCCTATTCTGTGTTTTCTTTAGAGACAGGGGCTCACTGAGCTGCTTAGCTCCTCACTTTTGCTGAGGCTGGCTTTGAACTCACGATCCTCCTGCCTCAGCCTCCCAAGCCGCAGAGATTGCAGGTGCCACTGCACCCAGAAGCAGCCACTTTTGTGACCGACTCCCAGCTTCGCTGGGCCTTTGAGACCCCATGAGGGAGCCTCCCCTTCCGGAAGGAGAAGCAGTGAGAGGGGACACCTGAGGGTCGGAGACTTGGGTTCAGATGCTAACTTGCCCTCGTCCTCTCTGGGCCTCAGTTTCCCCACCTGCACCAGGGGTCTCAGAGGAAGCAGGAAATGTCAGCGTCAGCATAAAGGGCGGTAGGGAGACGCGGGGGGGGGGGCGCTGGGGAGCAGCCCTGGGAGCCAGAGGCCCTCAGTAGCCTGCAGCAGGAGCAGGTGCCATCCTGCCCCGAGCGCATGCTCCTGTCTCTGAAGGGGAGGCAGGAGGTCGCAGGTAAAGGTTGGGCAGGAATGGAGGACTGTGGGGAGCATCCTGCTACGGATGGGCACACGGGGCCTGGGCAGGGGATGAGTCTGTCCCAAGTCACCCTGAGACTCTGCCCCAGGCTGTGCTGTGCTTTCCCCCGGGAGGACTCTCTCTGGTCATGGACCGACTCTGTGCCTGTGGCTTTTCATGTGTCCCCACGAAGCCACCCGCAAGGTGGGAGTTCTGATTCCCGCCAAGTCTCAGGAGGATGAGCCTCTTGCCAAAGTCCTCTTGACTAAGCCTTGAACCTGGCCTGGGATCCCAGATGTGTGCCCGCCAGATGTGTCCCCGGCCCCTGCCAGCCCAGGCCACCCCTCTTCACCATTGCTGTCCTCTCTCTCCACAGGCCCCAACCCCAGCGAGGAGGCAGGGACCAAGGCCCGCTTCCAGCTGGCTGACACCCTGGAGCAGGGGACCTGGACGGCCTTTGTGGCGGACCAGCAGGACACCACCCTCTCCCTGCAGGTCAGCACCCCGGCCAACGCGCCCATCGGCCTGTACCGCCTCAGCATGGAGGCCTCCACCGGCTACCAGGGCTCCAGCTTCGTGCTGGGCCACTTCACCCTGCTCTTCAATGCCTGGTGCCCAGGTGAGCCACGCTCCATCCACAGGTGGTGGGCCACCCAGGGAGGCCACTGGGGACGGCATGGGCAGGGCAGGAGGAGCTTCAGGTGGGTTGGCTGTGCCCGCTCAGAGCTGCAGCCTCAGGACATGATTTCTCTACAATCAGGGGACAGGCCCTTGGAGGCAAAATGACCGGCCTGAGGCCACCCAGCTACCCAAGGATTTCTTCCCATGTCTGAGACCCGTGTGCCCAGCACACTGTGACCCAGGCGGCTCGGTGTTTTCTGCGGCTATCGCAGAACACCAGGGACAGGGTGATTTATAAACCTCAGCAGTTAATTTGGCTGGTGGTTCTGGAGACTGGGGAGTCCAGGAAGGAGGGGCCGCATCTGGTGAGAGCTTCCTCGCTACATGGCGGAGCACGGCGGTGTCTCGGGTTGTAGAAGCCCCATGTCAGGAATGGGGTGCCTGCCTGGCGCCCAGTGCCGGGCACCGCCATGTCCTTGTTCTGTCCCACCAGGACCTGCTGTGGACTCCCCCAGGCTGGTCCGGGGAGGCTCGGTGGAGGGCGAGAGGCCAGGGAGGTGACTGAGGCAGCCTCCCCTCTTCGCTGCCTCTTTCTCCCCTCGGGGGTCCCCAGGGGACGCGCCAGCTTCCTCCCTTTCTCAGACAGGAAGCTGAGGCTCAGAGAGGTCAAGTGGTTTCTAGAAGCTTCTTCAAGAAGTGAGTGGACAATGATGGGCAGAGAGAAAGTGGAGGGCTGTGTGGGAGGGTCGGGGGTCCAGGTCCCGGAGCAGAGCCCGCCTGCCCTCCTGGGTGGCGCTTTCCGCACCTGGCGAGCCAGGGCGCCCACCTGCTTCCTTCCTGCTCTGACCTAGCGAGCCAGGGAGGAGGCTGGGGGGACACCAGGAGCCACGGTCCCCGCCCAGCCTGGCACCGCCTTCTCCCTGGATCACTGCTCTACGTTTTTCTTCTCTGTTTTGGGGCATTTTGTGACACACTTGATCAGGTCCTTTCCATTTCCTCCTTCGCGTATTCTGGCTCTGATTTCTACAGGTGACAGTGAGACACAGAGCATAAAAACACAAGCTTCAGGCACAACCGGGAGACGCCGCCCGGTTCCTAGAAGACACCGCTGTCCTCCGTCCAGGGGCCCATCTCCTGGCTCACCATGGGCAGGGCTGTTTCGTGGATCTGTGTCCCTCAAACATAAAGGGGGGCCCACAGTGTCCACTGCAGCTTGGTCCCCCCCCCCCTGTCATCTGAGATCCGTCCACACTGGTCGGTGCACATCTCTTCATTTCTTCTAAAAGCCTCGTACCCTGCCCATGTCCAGCACTCCACTGATGGCCGTGAGGCCAGCTCCCGTGGCCCTTGGGGTGTCACCATGAGCCCCCTGCCTTGGGCACATGGAACCATTTATAGAGACAGAAGCGGCCTCCCTGGGACCCACCGCAGCTTGGTTTAAATCTTAGTCAATCCACAGAGGGTGACAGCTGTTGGTGGCCCTGCTCCTGAAGCAGGGACAGGCCTGTGTCCCCACCCACACCCGCTGCAGGGCCTTCGGGTTCAAGGAAGGGCGCGCACGGCTCTGGGGAAGTCCCCTTCCTCCGGCTCTGCCTGGGCCTGCCCTGCTGGTTGGAGTGGCCGCTTGCCAGGCAGCACGGTGACTAAAGTGACCCACGTCCTGGCAGGAGGAGTCTTGGGGAGCAGGAAGCTGGGCTGGGCTGGGCTGGGCTGCTGGGGAGGACACTGCTCTGGTGGGAAAGGGCTGGGTCTGCCTGTGAGATGGGATCCCGGGCTCAGGGTGAACGGGATCCAAGGCCAGTCACAGGCAAGGCCCCGCGTCCCAGGCGTCTGCACCTTGACCGGAGACCTGGGCGGGGACCTCGCCTCCAGCTCCCACTCAACCCGCCAGCGGACACTCTGAGTCCTGCTTTCTCTTTCATTCTTGGCGCCGCTGACTCAGCTCCTCCAAGGCTCGCTGTCCTCGCAGTGTGCAGGGCCACAGAGCAGCGCGGGGGACGGCACCTTCACGCTCACTCCCCGCCTCAACAGGAGAGGGGCTGCTGGCCGGGGAACCCAGGGTGGGCTCCCAACAGGCACAGGGCCCCATCCCTGGGCCCACCGTACCTTTAGTGGTTGCCTTGGAGACCAGAAGGAGAAAATGGGCATTTAGGTGGAGCAGTGGGTTTCCATATGTATAGTAAGGTGTCCACCCTTAGGCCAGTGCCGTCACCACAACATTTTTCAGTTGTCATTGGGCCTTTCTTTATTTATTTACGGGGTGCTGAGGGTCAAGCCCAGCGCCTCACACTCTGCCCCTGAGCCCCAGCCCCGGCCCTGACATTATTATTATTATTTTTTTAATATATGCAGGATGGAAGCCCAGGGCCCACCAAGTGCCCAGGGCCCACCGAAGTCATTGTGTGGCTCTGGGTGTGCCCTTCCCAGCCCCAGCTTCTCCATCTGGGACGTGGTCGTCTCAAGCCGGCAGACCTGGGCTCCTGCCATGGGCCTGAGCTTCCTGGCCCCCTTCCTCCCCTCGCTGGCCACAGGGATCCAGGGCCCGCATTTCCCCGTGGCCGCAGCCTGGCTCTGCCTGGTCTCTGCTTAGATTGCCGCCCCCCAGGCTCCAAGCACAGAACCGTGTCCCCTTCCCAAGGCGGAACTCAGATGCCCCCTCCTGCAGCGAGCCCTCCCCAGCCCCCGAGCTGGACAGGGTCCCACTGCCCGGGGCCGTGATGACCCTCCTTGGCCTCCCGCTGCACCACACTCGCTGGGCCTCGCGCTGGCTCAGGGCTCCAGCACCTTTCAGACCTGCAGCCACACTTTCCTCTCAGGCTGACAGCGGGGGGCAGAGAAGGCAAAGTGAGCAAAGTGACCTGCCCCGGGCCACGAGGCAAGAGATGGTCGGGATGAGGACTTCCTGGCTCCTGGTCAGTGCTCCTGGGTGTCTGGTTTTAGGCGTCACTCTTTCCAGCTACAAAACATCCTTGAGCCTCAGTTTTGCCATCTTTGAAAAGGGACTTCTGAGGGTCCCTCCTTCCTAGGGCTCCTCAGGAGAGTAAATGAATTAATCCACGTCGTAGATCTGTCGCGGGCCCTGGCGCGTGGCCCTGGGTGGAGGGCAGGCTTTGTTGTTACTTACTGATATCGCTTTGTCTCACGGGCACGGGGCTGTCGATCGATGGCTGCTTTTCTATTTAAAAGTTAGAAGGACCTCTGGGATGCTGGCTTGGCCTGGCTGCCAGGCTTGCAGGGACCCTGGACCTCGCCAGACCCAGGGCTGAGGTCCCCTCTTCCTGCCCACAGCCGACGCTGTTTACCTGGACTCGGAGGAGGAGCGGCAGGAGTATGTGCTCACCCAGCAGGGCCTCATCTACCAGGGCTCGGCCAAGTTCATCAAGAGCGTGCCTTGGAACTTTGGGCAGGTAGGCTTCACCCCGCCCCTCATGACCGCGCAGACCTCTTGCCTCTGAGGCTGCCAGGGACGCAAAGGTGTGAGCGGGTTGCAGAGAGGCCCACCCAGGCCTCTGAAGGATGAAAGGGTCCTTGGCTAGAGGCTCAGAGAGGGCCAGAGCTGGCCTGAGGTCACACAGCCAAGGAACAGCCCTGGGGAAAGAATTAAGAGAGCCTCTGGGAGCCGCGGAGCTGGTTGGAATTCCCAGAGAGGGGGGCCCAGGAGAGATGAGAGGCAGCCCTTGGAGGTGCGCTCCGTGGGCTGGGCCTGCGTGGAACAAGCCTCCGAACTGTTCTCGGGGTCAGTGGGTCTCCAACTTGAGTGGACATTAGAGCACCTGGGGGGACGCGTGAAGCACACAGTGGGAGCCCATCCTCCGTTCCGGCTCAGCAGGCTGGGGGGACTGCCAATCCAGGTGTCCATGCTGCTGTCCAGCGCCACAGTGGGGTCTCTGGCTGACCACTGTATCAACCAGCTGGAGAGGGGGGTCAGCCGGGGCAGGTCCCGCAGGGCAGGCTGGGCTCAGCTACGTGGCCCTTCCCTGTGCCCAGCCTGGGCTGGCTCTTATCTCCCGTGTCCCCGACGGCCCATGAAACTCCGAGACTCTGCAGGCGAAGCTCATGAAGCCAGGAGCAGGGCGCCCCCAGCCCCGCGACCTGCTGCTGCCTGCGGGGTCACCCCGACGCTTCTCCCAGCAGCCTCTGGGTCAGGGCCGGTGTCCAGTCCTGCCCTGGGGCCATGGGAAGTCCTGCGTGACCCTGGCTCAGTCCGACCGCCATTTCCTCACCTTCGCCACCACATCTGCCCACGAGTTCGCGGCCTGCAGGGGTGGGGAGAGCAGTGGTGTCTCCACGGCCATGAACCATGTCAGAAATGAGCCGGCTCCGTTTCCCAGGGCTTTTAATTGTCTCCTGAGAGGCAGAACAAAGCCGTTCCTCCCTTTTAATTTCCTGATGTCCTGCTCTGTGTGGAGCCGCAGGCGCTGGGCTGAGAAGCGTCTCTGCAGGGCTTCAGGAAGAAAAGACCTGGGGGCAGGGGGCAACTGCCCCGGGGGATCAGGGGGTCTCCTTGAACAGGGGACTCCTGAGCTGGGCTCTCAAGGACAAGCCGGAGTTTGCCATGTGAGAGGTGGAGGCAAAAGAGGCTCAGAGAGGGGGTTTATGGGGGCTCACAGTTTGTGAGGTTCAGTCCGTAGATGGCGGAGTCCTGGCTCTGGGCCAGGGGTGAGGCCGCTCACCATGGGGAAAGGCCAGTGGAGGAAAGCACTCAGCTCCTGGTGGGGTCAGGGAGAGTGGGCGAGGGGGATCCCCATTGATCCTCCCCCAGCCACCCCCACCTGCCTACAGTGGTCACCCCATCATTCAAACTGGGGTGGGCTGATTAGGTTCCAGCATCCACAGTCCAATCACTGGACCTCTGAACACTCCTGAATTAAGACAGGTGCTTCTGGGGGACACCTCGTCCAAACCACAACAGAGTCATTCTGCAGCATGGAGGGCGACCTGTGACAAAGCCTGATCCAGCACAGGAACACAGTACAGGAGCTGGGGGCCGGCAGGAGAGACCCTGAGGTGTCAGATGGGTGGTCCATGAAAGATGACAAGGACGGGGTTCTGCTTCTGATCAATATAACAGTTGACTTGCAAGGAGGAGAAAGTATGAGCCATGCAAAGAGTAGCAGGGAGAGCATTTCAGGCAAATGAAAAAGCAAGTGCAAAGGCCCTGAAGCAGTGAGTGTGGGGTGGAGTGAGCATGGGTGGGAGTGACAAGACATGAGGTCAGACAGCCAGAGAGTGCAGATCATGAAAGTCCTTGCGGATTGCGGGAAGAAGTCTCTCCGAACTCTGGGTGCAGCTGAAATGTAATCTACTTCAGTTCCAATCAGCAGTGTGTGGAGGAGGCGGCTTCTGGGCTCCTCATTCTCCTCTTGTTTCCTCTGACACAGTTTGAAGACGGGATCCTGGACATCTGCCTGATGCTCTTGGATATCAACCCCAAGTTCCTGCAGGACGCCAACCAGGACTGCGCGGGCCGCAGCAGCCCAGTGTATGTGGGCCGCGTGGTGAGCCGCATGGTGAGTGGCAGGTCCCTAACCCTGTGATGTCCCAGGCCAGGCTGTGTGCTGGGGGGCTCAGGACACGGGGACATCTCCCCAAGAAAGACAAGATTTAGACAAATGAGGGCTATACCACCAGCTCCCCCAAAGCCACTCATTCATTGAGCAGATATTTATGAAGGGCCACCTGTGTCCTGGGCTCTGGGGACACAGCAGCTGGGTATAAAACACGTCCAGTCCCCGGCTTCAGAGAGCTTACGTTCCGGTGGCCAGTTGAGAGGAGCCAGATGGTCACCAAATGTCACATGACCGAGCGCACAGGCATACGTGACTGTGGCCCCCTTGAAGGGGCCTGGGGTGTGGTCTGACCACAGGACCTAGGCTCGGAGGCGGCTCCCCCTGAGCTGCTGTCGTGGCTAGGAGGAGGAGGGGCTATGCAAAGGCCCTGAGGAGAGAAGGACCTGAACAGAAAGGACACCAGTGAGGCTGCAGCCCAGCGAGCAGACGGGAGCTGGGTGCTGCCGAGGTGGGCAGGGGTCAGGCCCTGTGGCCTGCTGGGCCGTGGGCAGGAGGCTGGATTTTATTCTGCAGGGAATGGGACTTGAGGGGGGATGACAAAATCTTGGTGGGGTCCAGAGGAGCTTGGGTAAAGCTCAGATGAGCCGCTTGTTGGAGCACCTGGCTCCCGGAAGGAAGCCATTCTCCAGGCTGCCCTCGGGGCCCCACCCCCAGGGCCTCCTCCTCCCGCCTCCTGTCTCCCGACTGGGGCTCCAGCCCCCTCCGTCTCCCTCAGGCCACAGGCTCTGTCCCCCACCATGTCCCCCTGGTTGCAGGTGAACTGCAACGATGACCAGGGCGTGCTTCTGGGACGCTGGGACAACAACTACGGGGACGGCGTCAGCCCCATGTTCTGGATCGGCAGCGTGGACATCCTGCGGCGCTGGAAGGACCACGGCTGTCAGAACGTCAAGTACGGCCAGTGCTGGGTCTTCGCCGCCGTGGCCTGCACAGGTGAGCGCTCACGAGGCCCGCCTCAGCCTCCGCCAGGCCGCGAGGGAGCGCGGGCGGCGCTCGGGAGACCCGTCCAGCCCCGTGGCGAGGCACAGTGACCTGCGGCCTGTGGCCACTCTTCCCTGGTCCTCTCCCCAAAAATACCTCTAGGTGGTCTTTAGGCTCAAGGACGTGATGGGGGAGCAGCGTGGGCTCAGGGCTGAGTTCTGGAGCCGGGCACACCCGAGCTCAAGGCCTGGGCAAAGACTTCCCGCTGACCTCAGTCTCCGCGTAGGTAGAATGGGGACAACGCCGCCCGCCTTGGGGTGGGTGTGATGTACGCTGCTCAGCACAGAACCGGGCCCAGGGTAGCTGTCAGCGTCCATTAGCTATCAGTACCTCGAAGACAACAGTAAAGTCTCAGTTGAGAAAGAGAAAGGAGGTTCCAAGATCCAGAGGGGAAGGTCCAGCAACTTGAAACCAGAAAAGTAAAATGGGTTTTAAAAGATTTGGAAGATGTAGGCCCAGGAAATGTTGATGGTGTCCCAAGGTTGGTAACGGTGCTTCAGAGAAGAGGCTCGACAGCGTCACATACAGCTAAGGACTCGGCCTCTGGGGTCAAGGGCTGTGTCCGCAGCCTGCTTCACGGGAGCTGTGTGCCCTGGGGGAGATCACTAACGCCTCGAGCCTCAGTTCCCTGGTACACGGCGTGGGCATAATACTAGTGCCCTCATCCTGGGACACCTGGGGGTCAGACGAGTCAGCCGGTGCGAAGTCAGCCTGTGCGAGGCGCTTGAGGGTTTCAGGCACATAACGACAGAATCCAACAGGCTGATCCGCAGCTCCCAGATGTTCTGTCTCCGAGACCAGAGCTCCAGCCAGAGGAGGGTCACCAGGACGTCCTCCACACCCCAGGCTGGGTGGGGTGGCCTGGCCCGGGCTCTCCCCAGGCCATCAATCCCGTCCTCCCAGCCTCCCCTGACCTCCCTGCCTCCCAGCCTCCCCAGTGACCTCCCTGCCTCCTCCCTCATGACCTGACTTCCCTTTTCTTGTGGAAACTCCCTGGCCCAGCCCCTGCCTCCTGGGGATGAGAGCCCATCTTGCAGAGCAGCCCGTGGATTCTCCCAGGAAACCCCGCAGCGGTGGCCCGTGTCCCCGGGCTCTCCTGCACATGCCATACTCACCTAAACTGCTGGCGGCAGGTCACCTCCCCTGCAACTGTCCTCTCTGCAAGGCCAAGGAAGGCTCGGTCCAGCCCACGGGCTTCGGAGCTGGCCTGCGGCGCTGGGTGGACTCGGGCGAGAGAACGGGTGTCTCGGAGCCTCGGTTTCTCCCCTGGGGAAGGGAGCCGGGGCGAGGGCCTCAGGCCTTGGGAGCTCTTGGGCCTGGGCACATGTCACTGAGCACAGTTCAGGTGAGACCTGGGCCTGGGTTTCAGGGACTCTGGGGTCCTGCCTCCTCAGGTGGCTCCCGGGCCTCTTCTCCATGCCCACGAGCCAGACGACCCTGACCAGACCTGCATTGGCCTTGAGAAGCGTGTGACGCGTCGCTGTTGCCAAGTGCCTCCTCGGTCCTGCCCCGGGCACTGGGCAGACCAGGCTGCCCACACTGCGGCCTTTCTCTGAATCACCACGACATCCAGACAAGCTGCTGTTCCTAGCTCTTCTTACCCAGGAGGAAACAGAGAGCAGAAGTGACTTTCCCAAGGTCACACAGCTGATGTTGGCATAGCCAGGCTCTGGCCAGGTGTGCCTGGTTCTGGGGCAGCGCCTCACAATGTGGCCCGGCCGCCTCTTGGGACATGATCCCAGCATCAGGAGTGGTGCCAGCTCTTGGCAGCAGAGACAGGCCTCCCAGCCTCTGTACTCAGATCCACTGCCTGTGGGGCAAGGTTCAGGGTTGGGACACCAGCCGTGACCGAGGGCAGCAGCAGGCCTGGCCCCTGTCCAGAGCGCAGGGGCGCGGGAACCAGGCGAGAGGTCCAGCGTCCCAGCTGCGCTGTCCTCTGGGCGCGCCCACGGGTCTCAGGGCCGGAATCCAGGGCCATCCGGGAAGCCCTGGGCCTGGCGGATGGGCACAGGGACAAAGGCCACATCCCCTCCCCCCGTCCCCCTGCTCAAAGTCCCACGCAGGTCCCCGGGAGAGGCCTGCTGGGTTTCTGTTTCGCTTCCCCGTTTAGGACGGTACTTTCTCTGTCCTTCCCTGGGTCACTTTCACTCAAGTAGCTCGGGAAACGGGGTGCACAAAGGCACCCGAGCCTTCGCCCCCGGACCTGCCCGGGGCCTTCCTCCCTCCCCTGCGCTGGGCCTGTGGGTGCCAGTCACCGCCCTGCCCCTTTCCACCTGCCATCGCCACGTTGCCCTCGCCCCAGTAAGCAGGGCTCTGGCCTGCACGCGGGGCCTCCCCGAGCCCGAGGACCTTGGCCTGCACCGTGACGCTGTTTTAGAGGGTCACTTACAGTTACGGTCTGGGGAGATGAGGGTGGACCCCATCGTGCTGTGAGTGCAGATCTGGACGGGGCACCCAGGCTTGGCAGGGTGGCCTCCCAGGGGACACAGCGTGTGCCAGTGCCCCGAGGCAGCGGGAGCAGGAAGGGCTGGAGGTCAGGGTGGCTGGACCAAAGTGACAGGGGGAGCCAGGTCTTGCAGAGCCAAGGGTCAGAGGCAGAAGTCTGGCCTCGACCTCCAGGGCCCTGGGAGCCATTGTCAGAGGAGGGTCAATGTCGTATTTGCAGTTGGAGTGCTGAGAGGTCACAGGGGACGTGGTGGCCAGTGAGCCGAGCATCATCATCCAGGCAGAGGGCTGGACTGTCCCCTCCCCACCTGGACCATGGTGCCCGCGCCCCGGGATGGAGATGGGCCAGTGTCCCGGGCCCCGGCTGGCCTGCTGAGTGGCCCCTGTGTCCCCAGTGCTGCGCTGCCTTGGAGTCCCCTCCCGTGTGGTGACCAACTACAACTCGGCGCACGACCAGAACAGCAACCTGGTCATCGAGTACTTCCGCAACGAGCTCGGGGAGCTGGAGAGCGACAGGAGCGAGATGATCTGGTGAGGCCCGGGAGGCCAGGCCGGGAGGGCACTGTGGACGGGCGCCGGGGACATCTGAATTGGGCCTGAGAGAGGAGCAGTTCTGGGCGGGGGAGGCCGGGCCTGTGCAGAGGCCTGTGTGGGGGTGACCAAGCACTGGGAGGGGTGTCGGGAGGAGGAGGGGGAGGGCCTGGGCTTGTCTCCAAGGGCAGTGGGTTGTCCCCGCGCCTCAGGGTGTGCGGCGGCTGCCGAGACCACTGGGGACCAGGGGACAGAGGCAGGAAGGGAGAGATGGGGTGCCTGGGGCAGGGGGTGTCCAGGAGGGTGGTGAAGAGGCCTGAACACGGGTGGGTGGAGCCTCTGGGCAGGAAAAGCAGGGAAGGGGGCAGGAAGTGAGGAGAGGAAGGGCAGGGAGGGGCGCGGGGGGCCCAGGGCGAGCCCCCAGCTGAGACCCCGGGAGGAGCCCAGGGGCTGCTGGGACTTGCTGGGTTCAGCTTGGGACAAGGCCTGGGGCCATCCATGGGGGGCCATGCTGAGCGGTTCCCTGCGTCCCTCCCCCCAGGAACTTCCACTGCTGGGTGGAGTCGTGGATGACCAGGCCGGACCTGGAGGCGGGCTACGAGGGGTGGCAGGCCCTGGACCCCACGCCCCAGGAGAAGAGCGAAGGTGGGTGGGCGTGGCCGTCGCTTGGTGGGAAGCCGGGCTCGGGTGGGGGACGGGGGAGCTGGGGTTCCAACCCGAAGACCACCAAAGACCACCGGCTGGGCCACACGGCCGGGCCTCCTTACCTTTTCACGATAGGCTTTTTTATAACTTGAAAAGCAATGCAGAGCGCAAGAAGGAAGGACAAAAGCCAAATGGCACCATCACACTGCCCCCAAATAAGCACCATCGTCCTCCCACGTGGCTTCAGCAATCTCAGATCAGATCCTTGTCTGTGCATGTGTGTGTGTGTGTGTGTGTGTGTGTGTGTGTACGCATGTGCACATGCATGATTTGGAGAGTGCACCGACGCAAGATTTGGCAAAGCATTGTGGGCCCTTTTTTTTTTATTGTATAATGCGTCTGGTTACAAAGAAAACCTAAGTTATTTCAAGGACTAAGAAAAAAAAGTTGCCTTTGGATGCCAGACGCTTTTCTTATACAACAAGACCGGTGGGGGGGGCAGTCTGTCCTGTAATACAGCCACCGGGATGAGCTCGCATGCCCTCTCCTGTGACCTGGGACAACTCGAGGTGATTTGGAAGCACCTGCGGTTCTTGGGGGTGACGAGTCCCACGTGCTCTGGAGAGGCTACGAGTTGTGTTGCCTGCTGGCAGTGGGAGGGTGTGGCGCCAAAGGGCCTGGGTTGAAGATGACCTTTTCTCCATATCCAAGTTCACGGACCCCTGCACGGTGTGGCCAGGACCTTCACGGACCCGGCTTAGGGACTCCAGCCACGTCCATTGCTCAGCTCCAGCCGCATTTCTCCACCTGTGATCTGGATTTTCATTTAGCATTACTCGGTTTCATCACGTGTCAAAACACGTCGGCCCAGCTCCTAGTCCCCGACATTTAAGTTGTGGCCAGGGTGCCGGGGTCATAAACCACTGTGACACGAATATGGGCACTGTCCGCGTAGCAGCCGCTGCCGGGCAGGCTGGGGGACACTGAGCTCAGCTCTGAGCCTCAGAGGCAGATGGGACAGCTGCCCTCCCTCTGATGTCTTCCCACGGCTCTGCTCCAGGGTAGCCTTGGGATCTGTGTCTGTTTTATTTATCAAATATCTGCGCAGCAGTTACTGTGTGCCCAGGGCCTTCCGTCTGTCACTCACAGGGTAAGTGGCCCAGCCACGCAGCTAATAAGAGCTGAACTAGGATGGGACCCTGAATGTTGGGCTCCAGTGTCCTTTTTCTGAACCCTCCCTCTCTCTCCCTCCTCCCCCCAAACAGGGACATACTGCTGTGGCCCGGTCCCCGTTCGTGCCATCAAGGAGGGTGACCTGAACACCAAGTACGACGCCCCTTTTGTCTTCGCTGAGGTCAATGCAGACGTCGTGGACTGGATCCGGCAGGAGGATGGCTCCTTGCACAAGTCCGTCAACAATTCCTTGGTGGTGGGGCTGAAGATCAGCACCAAGGGCGTGGGCCGCGACGACCGGGAGGACATCACCCACACTTACAAGTACCCCGAGGGTAGGCGCAGCACTGGGGGGGCCTCTATCACAGCCTTGCAGATAAGCGCCTGGTTTACCAGCCCGGCTGCCTTGTGTGTGTGTGTGTGCTTCAGTGGGCACCTAGGTCAGCGAGCCGCAGGCTGCGTTCCACCTCTTAGAAACGAGGATGGTAGGAAGGATTGTTCATATAGGAAAATAATTCAGTGATTCTATATTCCACAAAAGGATTTCCTCTGTTTTTTAAGCCTTATTTTTTGATGGGTTCAACTCTCATTTTTATTTTTTTTTTTTATTTTGGTGGCCTTGCATGTGCCAGGCGAGTGCTCTGCCCTCAAGCTTCTCTCCTGGCCCCTGATGGACCTGAAGGGGTGGCTGCTGTAGAGACCTGGAAATGGATGATGTTGTTTACCATGTTGCTTAGCAACAACACCATCACCTCAGGGGAAGGACCTACAACTGTAGAGGGACAATTCCGTGCCTTTTTGCTTTAGTGTCATGGTGTTAGAGGGGCTTGAAAGTCCAGAGAAGCCACAAAGGAGCACATCCAGGCACTTGGCAGTTGTTTTTTTTTTTTTTCCAGTGTTTGACGGAAGGTGAGCATGAGGGGGGGGCGGGTTAAGTAGAGATGGGCTGAGAGGAGCCCAAAGGTAAGATGGGTCCGATCCAGCACAGGACGAGGGATCCTCCTCTGCTCGTGTTAAGTCCGTAGGGCGCAGAGGACTTGTTAAAATGGCTCTGGGTGCCTCCACTTGCCACCTCAACGCAATGGAGACTTTCTCAGTATTGACTGTGTGTGTGCCATCTCTGCGGGGCTCACGGAGGTGACTTAGAAATTAAAGTCCCCGCCGACCTTCCTGGGCTGCCCGAGGTTGGCTATCAGGTGGCCGCGCATTAGCTGGAAACGGTAAGAGCTGAAGAGGACGTTGGTCCCTCCGCCTTGGAAAACTCCAGAGCCCATGGCTTGATGGAGAGAGATGGGGAGGGACGTCAGCCACCCAGGAGAGATGGGCGGAGCATAAAGAAAGGGGCAGTTGATTCCCTGGCTGGCGAGCCGGACCCGGAGAGAGGAGGAGGGAAGGGCTTCCGGGGAAGTGGTCCTTATGCAGACAGTCGGAGGCGGGAGAATTGGCATTCTGTTTGTGTGTGGGATGCACCAAGCCCCGTTATAGGACCTCGGTGTGACACACAGATAAATGAAACACAGGTTTGTTCCTCAGTCATCTCACGGGGATACGCACATAGACAACCCGAAGAGGGAGTGGTCAGAGAAACTTCCTGAAGGAGGGGGCATGGGGGCTGGGTTTTGAGGGATGTACAGGAGTTCACTGGTGGAAAATAGGACCGTTTTCTCCTCCTGCAAAGAGACTCCAGCTGTGACTGGGGCTCCCCTCCCATCCCTACAGGGTCCCCGGAGGAGAGGGAAGCTTTCACCAAGGCCAACCACCTGAACAAACTAGCCGAGAAGGAGGCGGCTAAGGAGACGGAGGTGGCCATGCGGATCCGCGTGAGCCAGAGCATGAACATGGGCACTGACTTTGACGTCTTTGCCTACATCACCAACAACACCCCCGAGAACCGCGAGTGCCGTCTCCTGCTCTGCGCCCGCACCGTCAGCTACAACGGGGTGCTGGGGCCCGAGTGTGGCTCCAAGAGCCTGCCCGACCTGACCCTGGAGCCCTTCTCAGGTGAGGACCTGTGTCTGGTGGCCACCGGCTGCCAGTGTGCCCTGCAGGGCCCCGTGGCTCAGCCTGCATAACTGACCTCGCCGACACAAAGCCCTGCCTGGGTGGGCCCTGTCCTGAGCACTTCCCAGACAGCCACCCGTCCGCTTCTCAGGACAGAGCTGAGGCGGACTTGAGCACTGCTCCCCTCATTTTCCAGATGAGGAAACGGAGGCACAGGGAGGTTAAGTAACTTTCCCAAGGTCACACAGAGAGGAAGTTTGAACCCATCTTCTCAGCAACTGCGCTATTCTGTGTTTGTTTCCTGTCATTTCGCTGTGACCCCTGCCAGCTCTCAGACCCTCTGCTCCCCTCTCCTGGCCACTGCCTTGCCTCTGCCTCCAGCTGCAGGAGCCTCCCACTGCCCGGCTGAAGGTCTTCATTGCCCCTGGTGTTGTTGGCCTCAGAGAAAGGAGGCCCTCGTGGGTGGGCACTGGAGGCCCTCGTGGGTGGGCACTGCCCATGGAACTCTCGGCAAGGGTGCAGATTCCACATCTGTGCTGCCCAGGACGGGTGGCCGCCAGCTCCATGTGGCCACTGGGCGCTGGAAATGCAGTGGCTGCTGAGGGTTTTAATTCTTTTGGAAGTTAGGTAGCGCCTGTGGCCGGAAACTGCCCTGTGTGACACGGCAGCCCAAGGGCACTGGACAGCCCATGTGGAGTCTCCTGGCTCTGCCCCCAAAGCCCCGCCTGCCTGGCAGAGCCCCGCCTGGAGGGCAGTGTTGGGCAGCCCCACGTTGGCCCCCGGCAGAGGCCGCGTTGGTCGCTCATGCATGGGGCCAGACTTCTGCACAGTGGTCTCCTCGGGCCCTGGGGCTCCTGCAGCGTCCCTGTGCCTGGGCCCAGAGGTCAGTGTGAGGCAGCTGGAGTTCCGTCTTCCACCCTCCTCCCACGGCCTGTCCCATCTTCTCCTGGGGACAGCCCAGCAGGCAGGAGGGGACAGAGGGGTCTTAGAGCTGGGAAAGCCCCGGGAACTGTGGTGTGAGGCCCTGGCCATGCCCTAAGGGGCAGCGTGACCATGTGGACCATTGTCCCTATCGCTGGGCAAAGGCCTCCGCTCCACCCAGGGTCCCCGTCCAGCCCGAGGGAATCGTACCCGGACACTGTCAGCAGTGTCCACAGCGGGCACTCCACCTGGGAGCCTGCGTGACATTCAACAGGATGACCAGAGGGTGAGAGCCCGGGCAGGACGCCCTCTGCCTTTACGGCCTCCATCCGCTGCCCCCCTTTGTCTGCGACGCCCGCCTCCCCCTCCCCTTGCCCACCCTGGACCCCCAGGGCTGGGTGCGGGGTTCAGCCTGCCAGGGCCCAAGACAGCGGGCCTGCGAGTCGCGCCCAGGTCTGGTGCTGAAGTCCCCTCGTGGTCTTCTCTCCTGGGCCCACAGGCTCAGCGAGACCCCTGTCAGGGCCCTCTGCGGGACCCAGACCTCTGCGGCAGGCCCCTCCCTGGGCTGCAGGAAGGAGTGAGGGCGGGTGCTCGCGGAGCCCCAGACCGGCCCGCTTGCTAAACGGGGCAAGCAAGGGCGGCCGCGAGGCTGGGGGACAAGAGGTGAGCTCAGGAAACACCTGGAAAGTTCGCCCTGGTGTCGGCACACGTGGCCCTCACTCCTCACCCGGCAAAAGTGGGAAGGAGCCAGGGAGCCTGAGAAGCCCCCGGACCTTGGCCGTTGTGCCACTCAGTGGTGTGGGACGCTGTCACCTCTGCCTCTACCCCCAGGAATCAGGGGCAGGCTCCTTTCCTACAGGTGCGAGGGGCGCTCGGGACCCCGGGTTCTGTCCCTGCCATCTGGTGCCGGCTGCGGCCCTGGGTCTTTCCCTCCTCCACTCCGGGCCGCAGGGTCCCCTTTGGTGCAAGGGCTGGCTCAGCCGCTTCTTTTTAGGGGCACACCCTCGGGGCCAGGGCACACCCTCAGGGCCAGGTCTGCTCAGAGGTTCTGAGGGGAGGAAGTGCCTCCCCTGGAATGTGGGGCATGGAGTGGCCGGCAGGTCACCCTGTGCCCTTTGCCTCCCAGATAGCATCAGAGCGCAGCGCGGTATTGTTCTAAGGTTCTCATCAGCCCGGGGTGTGCTGGGGGGGACAGCGCTCCTGCTGGGGGCTCAGGAGGGACACAGCCTGCCTGTAGGGAGGGAAGGGCAGGGGTCCGGAAGATGGGGCCCATCCAAGATGCCCTCCTGGGGCCTCTGCTGTCAAGGTCATCTGAGCCCCCACTCTGGGGAGGTGTTTGTTGCTCTTTGAGGATAAGATCTGGGGATTTCCATGTGCTAGTGGACAGGAAGCCAGGCCCAGGATACAGAGCCAAACCCAGCGGCCCCCAGCCCTGCTCCTCGGTCTGTTGCTCCTCTCCCCTCCCCTTCCTGTCCCCACCCTTCTCCCTCACCCGTCCAGGTGGGTCACCCGGAAAGTAGCCAGTGTGGCCTCGGTGACCGTCCCCAGGTCACCGTCCAGAACAGGGCATGTCATCCGAGGAATGAGCATCCGCCCCCCCTCCCCCGCCCCGGCACTCTGTGGCCCAAGGCCAAGGCCAAGGCCTGGGCTGTGACCGGCAGCTCTCCGCGGTCCAGCCCTGTCCTGCCTCAGCCTCCTGGAGAAGCCGAGCCCCCCCCAGGCTCCTGGAGGGCAGGGCTTCCTTCTTTCCTGAGGAGCTGCTGCACCAGGTCTGGGAACAGCCTTCCCCCTCCTTTTGTCCTGGTTGGCACAGAAGTCTGGGTGGCTCCCGGGTCGCGTCATCTGATGAGAGCTTGGAGCACGTCCACCGGACGGATGTGCAGGGGCGGCGGGTGGCACTGGCCAGAGGCGCCCGGCCCACAGCCCCCCTGCTGCAGGGCCGGGGTGTGGACCTCCAGCCCCCTCAGCCCCCGGGGCTCAGGGAGAAGCTTCGAGGTGCTGGCTGGCCTTTGGCAGCCCTCAGCCTTGCTCTTCTCCCTCCTTAGAGGGCGAGCAGTCCCGGGCAGGTTAACCCCAGCTGACTTGTGTTTGCTTGCTTTAATTTTTACCAGTGACTTTCTGCTTCTGGTAAATGAGATAGTTTGCTGCAAGTAATGATAAAAAATTTCTCTGAAAGAAAAAAAAAGTTACAAAAAAACTGAGAGCAAGTTTGTGTGTGTGGGTGTGGTCGGGGGACGGAGGGGACCGAGGGCTCTGTTGGACCAGCTGGCTGGGCAGGGAGCTCCACAGTGTCCCCCCCACCCCCCGTCAACAGGAGAGGCCCCAGCAGCACCAGGGACTTGCCCAGGGTCTCTGAGTGAGGGGCAAGCAGGACCCACACCAGGCCTCAGGGTCCTTGTCAGACGAGACGGCCTAGATCCGGCTTCGTGACACTTTGGTGGGCCCTGCCAGCTCCTTTCCCATCCCCTTGTCACTGTATGGTTTTTGCTGGAGGCGACTGTTGGTCAGAGCTCTGTGTAGCAGGTCCTGGATGTTTCTGGGAACAGAGAGGGGAGTTCATCTTCCTGGGCTCACACAGCTGAACGAGGTTGGGAGCTGGCTCTCCCGGGCCAGGCCTTTCCCGGGAAAGGCAATCCTCAACTGTCAAATGGGTCTGACCTATTGGCCTCTGGGGAGTGGCACCATGTCCATGGTGGTACCTTGGGGGGTGCAGGTTGTGCTCGGGACTCTCGACCTGGATGGTGGGTTTGGATGCCCGTGTGGCACCTCCCAGCTGCGGGGCCTGTGGCGGTTGTTCACCTGCCCGAGCCTGTCTCCTTGTCTTCTAGGGAGGGTGAAGTGGGAGGACGTTGTGAAAGTGGCCGCCGCCCACCCCCTGGCAGCACAGGGTGCCTGGGCTCCCCACCCCCACGAGCACCCTGAGGGCCAGGTGCTGACACTGAGGTCCCGGGAGGTGAGGAGACTCTCCCAGGTCACCAGCTGGAGGGTCAGAGGTGGAGCCGGAGCACCCCCCACCCCTGCTCCTCCCCGGGAACCCGCCTCCCTGTGTGTGTGACCTCAGGCACATTCCTTCCCCTCTCGTGCCCCTCCTGTCCCTCCTGCAGAGAAGAGCATCCCCCTCCCCATCCTGTACGAGCAGTACCGGGACTTCCTGACCGAGTCCAACCTCATCAAGGTGCAGGGCCTCCTCATCGAGCCGGCGGCCAACAGCTACGTGCTGGCCCAGAGGGACCTCTACCTGGAGAACCCAGAGATCAAGATCCGGGTGAGGGCAGCCCCCCGCCCACACACACACCTGCATCTCTGCACCCTCAGGCCTTGGAGCCTCAGGGTCCTGGAGTCCCAGCCTCACCCAAGAAAAGCATCGTAAGGATGAGAGGATTCGGCTGGAGGCCTCCAGGAATGAATCTCAGAACCCCAGGGTTGCAGGCTCATGGGATTCAGGGATCTTAGAATCATGAATCCTCAAATTGCAAAATTCCTAAGGCTGGGCCTCCAGGCCCTGGAGGTCGCAGGGCACCGACCCAGAGTCTGAGCAGGAGGGCGTGTGCCTGGGTGGCCCTGAGGTTCCGCGGCCCTCCATGCAAGGGGAGGTTAACGCTGCCAGCGTGCAGGGTGCCGTAGTTCAAAGCACAGCCGCAGGAAGGACCCGGAACCACACACAGTGTGGGAAGGGCTCCGCGCACAAGCTGTGTCCATCACCCCCACCATCATCGTAGCATTTCACCTGGAGGAGTCAGGACCCCTGGGCCCCCAAGTGTACAAGCTGAGAAAGAGCAGAGGGACGGGCAGCACCATCACGTGCCAAACCTTGCACATCTTAGCTCATTAATGCTCAGGCAGGCATTTCTCTTCCATGAAGAAACAAGGCTCAGAGAGGGTTAAAACTTCTCCAGGGTCACACAGTGACGAAGGGGCAAAGATTCACCTGGCTCCAAAGCCGGTGAACTGTCCACTCCAGACCCTAGAACAAGGGAGAGGCTCTGTGCATGCTCCCCTAGAGTCACGTGGGCCCTCGCTGCAGCTCCAGGGAAGAGCCCCGGGTAGGTGTCCCTGTGGTATTTTTCAGATGAGGAAACAGGCACAGAAGTGGAGGGTGGGAGGCGGAGCTGGGCGTGGCTCCGCTTAGCCACCAGTGGACCAAAGTATAGCAAAGTCAGGGGCAGCCCAGCCTGGACCCCGCCTGCCGTGACTCCTGCCCATCCACCTTCCAGATCCTGGGAGAGCCCAAGCAGAACCGCAAGCTGGTGGCCGAGGTGTCCCTGAGGAACCCGCTCACCGTGCCCCTGTTGGACTGCATCTTCACCGTGGAGGGGGCCGGCCTGACGAAGGAGCAGCTGTCTGTGGAGGTGTAAGTGCCGGTGGCTGCAGCTTGAGGGCCAGGGGAGCGAGGTGCAGAGGGCAGTGGCTGTCCTGGTGCCACACTGCGCCCCCCCCACACACCCTGCAGCCGGGCTTCCCCACGGTCATCTCCACATCTGGGCAGCCCATGCAGAGTGCGTGCACACCTGGACAGTGACATCCACTTAGCCCCCACCTTCAGGGACCCAGGGGCCCACTCAGAGTGTCTACGCGCGTGTGGACCCACGTGCAAGTGTGGGTGTGTCACATGAGCGTGCGCTGCTGGGTTTTTATTTTATTTTTTTACCCCCGGATCATGTAGGTACAGCTCAATGCTTTGTCTCTCGGGTGGCCACCTGAGTCTGCCTACAGTGACCCCCAGAGTGTGCCATGGGCTTCTGAGCGCATGCACCACACAGAGGAGGCCCAGGCCCCCCCCACCCCGCCCCCCGAGAGCGGGAGTGGGGCCTCCGGGATTGCTGGCCTTAGCCCTACACTCGCGGAGGCTCTGGGCCGAGTCCTGGCACATGCTCGGTGGTCACATGTCACTCTGACCTGACCCTAGAGACCCTCTCCTCACCCTCGCTTCTCTCTCTGCAGCCCAGACCCCGTGGAGCCGGGGGAGGTCGCCAAGGCCAGGGTGAACCTGCTGCCCATCGACATAGGCCTTCACAAGCTGGTGGTGAACTTCCAGTGCGACAGGCTGAAGGCCGTGAAGGGCTACCGGAACGTCATCATTGGTGGCCCCTAGGGCGCCCTGCCCGGCCCCCTCAGCCTGCGAGAGCCCTCACCTGACTAGTCTCCATCCCAAGCTAATGAGCAAGCTTTGCCCCTTAGGGCAGGGGCGGGCTGCCTGTGGGGCTCAGCAGCGGAGGGTGCCTCTGGCCACCTGGTCCCTCTGAGCCTGGCTCCCCACCCACCCGTTCCCCCTTAGCCGTGAGGAATGTTCTGTGCCAACACAGTGGAATCCCGGCCTTGGCCGACTGGAGCTGGAGTGAGAGGGGGCTCACACCTCCCTACCCAGGTGCCTTGGGGAAAGTCACTGACCACCATACTGTTCGATCCACTCCCAAGTTTCTCAGAGCAGACAATAAAGGGTGGCTGTGCCTGTTTGGCTAGACCCAGGAGCTCAGCCCCCTGGAACGTGTCCTGCACCCATCCCCCAGCTGCTCCCAGGCACCTGGGGCTCCTGGGAGAGGCAGAGCCAGGTGGGGTGCAGACAGGCCGGCCCACATCCCCGCAGTGTCCTGGCCAACAGCGTCCCCACCCACATCCCCACTGGAGGCACATGCTGAGTGCGGTGCCTCCTGTGCTCCCTGATGCTCACGAGGCCACCACCGACTTAGTCACCACGGGCAGCTGCAGAGCGGGAACTGCCTTCTGGAGGAGGAGACTGAGGGTCCAAGAGGGACCTCAGTCCCAGCCGCTGGCGGTCAAGTGTGAGGCTGGAGAGGCGGGGCCTGGACCAGAGTCTGGCCTGTGACTCGGAGCCCAGGGCTCCGCAGTGCCACCAGCCCTGACCCAAGAATGCCAGCGGGGCCACGTGGGAACTGATGGCAGGGGCCCAGCTGGGGCGAGGAGCAGGGGAGGGCTGGGGGTTGGGGAGCCGGGGTCAGGACTTGTCTCAAGCTCAGGTCTGGCCGGACGCCGCCCGCCCCTCTCTGGGCCTCCGTTTCCTCACGACCAGGAGCTGAGCAGCTCATCCCCGAGGGCGCTTAGCCCTGTGCTTCTGTGCCTCTTAGGGTCCCGCCTTGCAGATGGCCACCCTGCTCCACAAAGCTTAGGCCCCAGGCCCAGGACGTCTCTGTGACCGTCCTGCCCTGAGCCCCTTCCCCTGCCGGGTGCCTCCCTTCAGGCCCCAGTTCTAGGGGAGGAATCCGGCTGCCCCTGGCCTTCCCGTGAACTTGGCCGCCTCCACTCCCGGAGCCTTCATGGCCCATGCTGGTCACTAGCCAACCGGGTCAGTGCCTTAGCCCCCCTTGGCAGGGCCAGCAGCCCTGGACACAGCCCTGGCCCCGAGGAAGCCTCAGGAGCCCGTGAGTCTGCCACCTCGGGTCTACCCCGCGGCTTCTCCATGACGAGGCCTCCTCCGGGCTGGAAGGGTCTCTGCTGGGGATGAGGTCACAGCCTCTAGGGCTTCCAAAATCCCAGACAAGGACTTGGGGAACCTCACACCGATGTACTAAAACTTTCTGCTTCGCAAAGGGAAGAATCACCAAATGAGCCGACGGGTGTGTCCTACGTGAATAGAGCTCCACTTCTGGGTGGTTCTATAAGAGCTTTGGGTCCTAAGCAGGCAGCGCTGTGCTTTCCCACCACGAGGCGCCAGCACTGGAATAAAAGTTTATTTTTCACATTCAAACAAAGTCTGGTCTCATGTTTCATGAACTTTTGAGGGTGATGTTGGGCGAGTGCTGCTCACAAGGTGAGCACCAGTACCAACTGCCCCCTGCAGAGGGGACTCTCCCAAGCCTCGGCCCTGCCCCAGCCCTGCCCCAGGCCTAAACTTCACCAGCAGCTGTGTCCGTCTCCAGGCCCTGCCCCCACTGGGCCTTTTCCACTACCACCCTGCGCTCTTCTTCACCTCGAGGCTTTTGTAATTGTAGTTGCCTGAGCCCGGAGAGTCCTTCCTCCTCCGTTCCTGTGGCAAACTCCTGCTCATCCTGCAATGTTGAATACCAAAATCACCTCTTCTGTGAAGCCTTCTTTGATTTCTTCTCAGGCCTCCAGGGTCCTACAACATGGACCAACTCAAGTATCCACCAGTGTGCATTTTAGTTCCATGTTGGCATGTCCATCCCCTACCCCATCCAACCTGAAGTCCTCGAAGCAGGGACCAAGGATCCTTCAAAATAGACACTCATAAGTGGTGAGCTGGTAGATGGGTGTGTTTCAAAACCAGTGTTATCCATAGAAACAACATGAGCCCCAGAGTAAACCATGCACATAACTTCAAACTTTCCAAAGCTGGGCGTGGCCATGCAGGTCTGTAGCCTCAGCCATTTGGGAAGCTGAGGCCAGAGGATCCCTTGAGCCCAAGAATTTGGGACCAGCTTGGACAACATAAACCCTGTCTCTTAAACACAAAAACAAACATTTTCTAATAGAAAATTAGAAGGGTAGAAAAAAAAACAGGTAAAATTAGCTTAAATAATGTTTTATTGAACTCAATATTGTTTTGCAATTTGTAATCCATACAAAAGTTATCAGTGAGATATTTTACTTTCTGATTTGCACAATACCATCTTAATGCCAGCCCAGCCTGTCTGTCTCCTGTGCTGCAGGTGGCCGGGGTCACCATAGAGATGGTGCAAGTCTCCACTGTGATTCCTGAGTGTGGGGACCTGGTCATTCACCTAAGTGCCACCATGAGGCAGATGAACATTGTTGGAGGAATAGAGGGTGGGGGTCCGTCCTCACCCTCAGGGCCTCGTGTGGACGGACATAAGATGCACACAAACATCATTTATTTTTTATGTTTTGTATCAGGGTTTGAACTCAACCACAGAGCCACATCCCCAGCCCTATTTTGTATTTTATTTCGCGACAGCACCTCACTGAGTTGCTTAGTGCCTTGCTGATGCTGAGGCTGGCTTTGAACTCACGATCCTCCTGCCTCAGCCTCCCCAGCTGCTGGGATTCCAGATGTGCTCCACGGCACCCGGTCAAAGCATAATTTAATAAAAACCCAACTTCACTCTCCTGGGGGCCAAATCCTGCTCCCTGAACACGGAGCATCGAGTCGACTGGTGCCCGGCTGGAAAACAGTCCACTTGGCTATTTGGACAGAGGAGGGGTTCATGGGAAGCGGATTCCGAAGGCATGCGAGGGGAGGAAGGGCTGCTAGGTGACACCGTGCGACCCAGAGCACCCAGAGAACGGGAAGAGCTGTGAGGCCTCCGCACGGGCACTCACCTCCTCGGTGGGGGAGGCACGCCACGGTGGCCCCGGCCCAGCAGAGCTGCCGGGAATCACGTCACAGCATGCCCGAGCTAGCCGTGCCCAGAACCGGGGCGGGTCCCATCCTCTCCCCCTGCCTTCTCCCCACTGGTGGATCCTCCCCAGAAACCCACTGGCAAGGGCTCTGGAAAATGTTACTCTCCACGAGAGCCGGCCAGGCAAGGGCAGGATGGAGTCGGCGCGACCCACTCCAGTTCCTTCTGCTAAGACACCCCCACCACCTTCTCTACCGAGGAGCTTGGAAAACCTCAGCCTCCAAAACCCTGCTCAGCCTCCAAAGAAGGAGGCCTTCCTGGATTGCAGCGAAATGCTCCAGCCCCTGGATCCCCCCCCCCGCCCCCACCTTAGAAAGCCCTTGCCACAGAACACTTGTCCCCCTGGGCTGGGAACGGTCGTCTCTGTGCCTCTCTGTGCTATCAAGTGTCCAAAGGCAGGGGCAGGGCACACCCCAGCTAGGGCCACTGAGCCAACTCCAGCTCCGGGCCTGACTGCTCCCCACTAAAACGAGGGGCAGAGCCGCCCCAGCCAGGTCTGCCCAAGCTGGGCAGATGCAGGGGTCTCTTCGGACCCAGCCCCCAGGCCTACCTTGTTTGCATGTGAAAAATAAACTCCTCCCGTTTCAAAATAGAAATGGTTCAAAAATGTACCCCATTTTTTAACACCATAGAGACTCAGAGCCCCCCCTCATCCTACAGATAAGAAAACAGAGGTTCAGAGGGATTGGGCGATTCACCCCAAGTCACACAGCGGGTAGACTGCAGAGCTGGACTTGACCCGGCAGCCTGCCCTCCCACCCCAGGGCCTGGCCCCTAGGGGCCCCCATTCCTCCCACACTCCAACACCCTCCCCTCCCCTCCACCCCTCACAGGGACCAGGGTTCTCGGGGCAGAGGCCTCACACAGCCCTGGCAGCCATCACGGAGCCAACCTCCCACCCTCTGGAGTCTTTTCCTCCCCAGATGCTCTTGTTTACCTGGGATGCCCGCCATCTCACCCCTCAGCCTCAAGGCAAGTCCAGAGAGACAGAAAGAAGGCTGAGGGAGCCCAAGGAGGAGGAGCTGAGGACAAAGGGCTGAGCGGGCTCCCAGCAGCACGTCCACCTTGGGGCTGTGGCCGTGGCTCCCTGCTTCCTTCTGCAGAGACGCAGGCCCAGGAGCCCCGGAGCCCTGTGCTCTGTTTCCAGAGGGAAAAGAAATATCCCCTCAAAGCAGAAATGAAAAAATGGCAGGACACCCAACCTTGAAAACAGGTGCTGCGATGACACAGGGCACCACGAATCTTGCTTCTTAAGCAAAAGAGGCAGCTTCCAAGTTCATGGACAGTCGGCGCTAACCCACAGCGTCAGAAGTCAGGATGGTGAGCCGGGCGCCTGTGATCCCAGCAGCTCGGGAGGCTGAGGCAGGAGGATTGCAAGTGCAAGGCCGGCCTCAGCAACTTTGCAAGAACTTCAGCAACTCAGTGAGACCCTGTCTCAAAATATAAAATGAACAGGGCCGGGGATGTGGCTCAGTGGTCGAGCCCCAGATTCAATTCCTGTACAAAAAAGAAAAAAGTCAGGATGGTGTTGGCCCTGGGGAAGCTAAGACATGGAGAGGTAAAGCAGCCCCTCCAAGTCCCCAGCAAGCTGAGAGCTGAGCAGCAGCTGGGGGCTGAAGACTCTGCAGAAGGTCTTAAAAGTAGGGGAGGGCTTGTTCCCCAGACCCAGAGACAGGAAGGAGTGATTCTCTGCGTGCCCCACGCCATGCCCCAGAAAAGCCTGAGCCACAAATTGCAGATTGGACTCTGGCTTTCTCGGATGTGCTGAGTGGCCTTGGGTGAATCGCTTTCCTTCTCTGTTCCTTAGTCGTTCCTGCTGTCAAATGAAGGGGGAGACAGCGGGGCAGAGGAGCTCGTGGTGACAGTGACTCGGGCTCGTGGCTCTACTGTTTCAGGCCATTGCTTCCTGATCGTGTCTGCTCCCTGCCCACCCTCTAGCAGCGCAGCAAACCCCTAATCATTCACAGAGATCTGTGCGGTTAACTCTGGGACAGCCACCTGCAAGTCATGTTTCACAGGTGAGCTTCAGAAATGGCCAAAGCGCCCTGGGCCCAGTGGCGCAGGCCTGAAATCCTAGAGGCTGGGGAGGTGAGGCAGGAGGATTGTGAGTTCAAAGCCAGCCTCAACAATTCAGTGAGGCACTAAGCAACTCAGTGAGCTCCCCTGTCTCTAAATAAAATACAAAACAGAGCTGGGGATGTGGCTCAGTGGTTAAGTGCCCCTGGGTTCAATCCCAGGTACCAAAAAAAAAAAAAAAAAAAGCCAAAGCCCATATCTGCAATCCCAGTAACTTGGGAGGCTGAGGCAGGAGGATGGCAGACTCCAGGTCAGCTTGGGCAACTTAGCAAGACCCTGTCTCAAAATAAATAAATAAATAAATAAAAAGGGCTGCGGATGTGATTCAGGCGTAAAGTACCCTCGGGTCAAGTTCCCATCACCACAAACCACAACAAGAACTTCAGGAGAAAGGAATCTGAAGCTTAAGACACTCCAGCGTGTCGTGGCTTCTTCCACATTCTTAGTAAATATTTACTTTTGTGCACAATTTCATATTCATTGTTCTCCTTAGATCTGATCCCTCAAAATTAGAAGTACAATAACACAGCTGCTTCACCAGAATGACAGATTGAAAACTTGAACATATGTATATTATGTTTTATGTTATACAGACATATATAAATAGTACTTTTGACAGGTTCCACCCAATAAAACCCATCACAAGTTAAAAATAATCAAGTCTGTGGGCTGGGCTGGAGCTCAGAAAGTAGAGTGCTCACCTAGCATGTGTGAGGCTCTGGGTTCGATCCTCAGCACCACATAAAAATAAATAAATAAAATAAAACTATGGTGTCCATCTACAACTAAGAAAACTTGTTTTTTAAAAAAATCAAGTCTGTGGGTGGGCTGGAGCTCAGAGGTAGAGTGCTCACCTAGCATGTGTGAGGCTCTGGGTTTGATCCTCAGCACCACATAAAAAAATAAATAAAAACAAAATAAAGGTATTGTGTCCAATTACAACTAAAAATAGATTCTAAAAAAATCAAGTCAGAAATGCGCTTACTACACCTAAATCTCCAAACATCCTAGCTTAGTCCCGCCTACACTAAATATGTGCCCTGGCCCACAGCTGGGCACAATGATGGAACACAAAGCCCCCTGGGTAACAAAGTGTTGGATGTCTCCCGTCGTTTGTTGTAAAGGTGGAAAACAGAACGGCTTGCTTTTGCAGCATGGGAAAGTCTAAAATATCAAAGTCGGGCCCCATTGAGTCATAATGTGTACACACACACACACACACACACACACACACACACACACACGAGTTGGGGGAGGTGTGGGACCACAGGAGCATTCATGTGCACTGGGATGAC